TTCGCCTGACGTTTCGACATTCGTCGCGGATTCATCATCAGAGACATGAACAACAGCAGAAACGGGTATCAGTATCTGGCTGCATTTTCCACACTTCGGTGATGATCGCCGTTTAAACCTAGCATACTGCGCCACCCCGCCGCCCCCATGAGCGACTGTGTGCGTGTGGGTTATATGTGCCCGACCCCCACCCCCAGTCTTCTTGAATCTGCTATGACACCGAGCATGGACAGGTGAGAGAGGAGACAGGCAGTGCGTTAGATGAAACGCAAGTCTACTAGCGCTGAAAAACCAACAAATTCGCAAGTCACCGCGTCTGCCGTCAGCCTGCTGAAGCGCGTGGTGGACACAAAGTCGGATTCGACAATAATTCTCAGGCGAAACTCTTTGCGGTCTTGACTAGATGCAAACCGTAACGATCCTGTCAGAGATCTCATCTACCACATCTTGCGGCCATAGTCTACGCGACCCCTAGACCTTTCCCCTGGGTTCGACCCGCAATGGACTGTCGACGACCGTGGCGCAAATTTCTGTTTTCGCCACCTTGTCGGCAGATTATGCGATCAGCAAGGGAGTATCTGGCTGCATTTTCAACACTTCGGTGACGATCTCTGTTTAAACCTAGCAAACTTCATCCTCCGCCCCCATGAGCGACAGTTTCTTTCTCCCAAAAAAGCCCAAGGCGTTTTTTCCATCTTTTCTCTAGTTTTTCCCTCGTTGGCTCGTGCTATTTGGCCCCGCCAGTAAGCTGAGTTATCAATTTTTGATATCACCACCCACAAATAGGGAGTTCAAAGGTACTCACCTACACCCCTTCAAAAAACCGAACTGAACTGAATATATATGTAATGGAGTAAACTCACCACTGGGACTGTGAAACATGCGACCAATGTCCCTGATGCGGAGGAAAATGCCCACGCCAGAGGCCGTGTCATCATCATCACCCCTCGAGACTGAAAGCGAGGAGACATGTGGCAGTCGCATGCGTTCGCAAAAATCCTCAGCAAGAGCTGTCTTCCACTGGGGCGTGTCGATGGATCGAAGGTAATCCGTAGTTGCCAGGTATCCGCCCACATGATCGCCGCCTAAGCGGGTGGTCTGTTCAATGGGTACTATGAGTTCTGAAGCAAAAACAAAAACGCAGCTTAAATGAAATCGGACTGAAGGGAGATCGCTACAAAACGCCTAAATGTAGGTGAAGATATTGAAAATACAAAGTGCAAGTATTGGTGGCACAACCACGAGGAGGAACAGTTATTTAATTTCATTCTATCAGACAACGCTCTATTCCTTACCTAGTGACCATTCTCGATTAACATAGAAAAGTTCGACCGATATTTCTTACCTCTACCGTGAGCGCCTTACAGCAAGGACGGCGACTTGCACGTGGATTAGTTGAGCGTGAGCCATATCCAACACAGTATTTCCCTCTCCTTCTTGGAGTCAGTTTCGTGACTGCGGGACTGCTTATTCGTGCGCACCAACGTCAACCGATTCCAATACACTATGACCAATCACCTCCTTGTGGCTTTCTCACACATGACAGCGCTGTAGACACTATAATAACTCCCACGCTCCCACACTTCGGACGCGTCCCCTCTCGGGTGCAGACGCATGCTCCTCCAAAAGTCAAATTTTTCCGACCTATTTTCTGTATAGAATACTCTATTCCGGCCACCTGGCATTCCAGTGTGTCTCTTCTAATACGGAACGGGACCTAAAGATCGCGGTAACTAGGGTCTTCCCCATCAACTCAAGCCACTGCAATAACGGCGATCTACTCACTGCAGTGAAGCAAACCTCCAATCGCGTACTCATCACCCGCTTATAAATGGTCGAGAACAGGGGCTACGCATGCCTGCTTAAAATACAAGTAATGCTTATGGGACATTTAAAACTTAGACCCTTTTGTCTACAAAATGTGCTGTCTTACGCAACCCAGGTAAACAAGATAAATATTTTATTTTCAAAAATACTCTGGTGTTTTTTTCAGCAGTCAACCTACAAAATTGACGCCTTAAATTCAAAAACTGCGGAGATTCTGTGAAGAGGCTCTTAGTATTTTATGTTAAAAATGTCAAGAGGCCAGTGTGTTGGCTCAACTTTATGAACTTGAAAGAAATCAGTTCCAACAATTAGGCTTTTCGAAAATTCATGCATATTCAGTAGCTTCCTGACTATTCAACAGGAAATGCCTGGAGTTAATTGCTTCTGCTGTTAAGCGACTGTTGGCGGGACTCGAGGATAAACGGGACGTGTGTGCCCTGTAAAGTACCCACTAAACGCCCCACTACTAAGACTAATATACACGGGGGGGGCCTATGGCATATTGAAGATCAGTAATTACCGTGAAACAGCTGACTGCATCGGGATGGTGAGTATTTTAGTGAACTGTCTATGCTGGCACAGCGAACAGGATGAGATCGAACGAGCTCCCAACTCAAAGAGTGAGAGTAACGCGCCTACTTGGCATACGGGAAGGCGATCTCTAGGACTAGCTTAATCGTTTTGAACTTTTACGCTTTGGGCATTCCAGAACATTTCTTACTATAATTAATCTAACGCACATTTTAATGATCATTATAAGCAAACGATCGTGGCTTGGGACGTTACTACATCCCAATCATATTACAGTAGTCGCCGGCTATTAAGCCTAATTCGCACCTCGGGCTTAGACCAAATTGGGCTTAATAAGCGGCGGGCGCACTAACCGGAGAGACCTAGTTCTTGATTAGCAGACGCAGGTAAACACTACCATTACATACGTACTGTATTATGTGTAGAGCTTGGTTATGTACAAGAAAAGGATGCTGGACATACGTACTGTATTATGTGTAGAGCTTGGTTATGTACAAGAAAAGAATGCCGTTTGTCTGTATTTAACGTAA